CCAGCCAGAGCAGGGTAGGGCGCGGTCGGCGTCCCGGACGTAGCGCATCTGCCATGACGACTGAACCACGTGCGGTAGCGTGGCGGCGAATGGTAAAGCGGCGGCGCCCCGAGGACCATCTTGCGAAGTGCTAAGCGCAGAGACGGCGGAGGACGCGGCGGTCTTTGCGGCGCCTTGTATTTGCAAGCAAGCAATGGCGTAAACCGAGCAGCGGCGGTGACCGTGGCCAGCGCGGCTCGATTCGAAATAGGTGACGAGCATAGTTTTTAAAGCTATCGCAAAACCCTACCCGAAGGTTCAAACGCCAAACCACTTCTTCAATACTCCAGTGAGTACATAGAGCTTTCGACCTAGGACACGACATCACGCCACTCCTTAAGCCGATCGCTCTACAAAGCTTGCCAAACATGGCTTCGTCGACCCATTTTCAAACTTCGCGAAATGACTTAAACTTTGAATGGTTTCGCGTCGTATTCCAATTCCGACCTACTTTATATAGTAGCTAGCGAACCTCGTCCTCGACCGCACATATTTCATTGTCGACTACGAAGTACGTACTACAAACTTTATTAAAGTTCGCATAAACGTTCTACAACATTTTTATCCGATAAAAATTCGCTTAGAATACTAACAATGTAAAGCGACATGAAATGTAACATTTGTTTCGTGTTTCCGACGAACATTTCAAGTTATGTACATTACTATATTACAAACATCCACAAACAAGTATGACGCTCATGCAGTGTTTTTGCAAAACAGTACAATGTAACACCGAGGGTGTTACAACTGTCCTGGTCATAGATGGCCAGAGGCCAACGGCTATTTTTCAAATACCTTGAGGGTCGGGAGTTCTGACACCTCACATACTTTAACTCAGTTACCGTAGTTTTCAAATGTGCTGAGGGTCGGGAGTTTCAACGCCTCACAATGGTAACTAAGTTAAAGTAACGTTTGGAGGTTGCAGTGTACGTGTCTGGTATGACAACGGCTATAAAACGGCTAGTTTTTCCAAGGGGACTATAAATACTCCCAAGCCTCCACCTTTGGAGGCTGCTGATTCTGCTGATCCTCTAGCACGTTTTTGAGCTTTGTCAACACTCTCCAACCCTCTCTTAGTAAGTGATTGATCAATTTTATCAAATCCAATTGTGGGTTGAGTGAAATTCAAAAAGAGAGCAATCCAACCACTTGAGCACTTGTGCATATTGTCAATCTCATGATTCACATTTGTTACTCTTGGACTCTTCGGTTCTAGACGGTTAGGCGTCGCCGGAGAGCACCTGAGAGATTATGGTGTGCCTCGAAAAATTTGTAACGGTCGATTCCGTCGCCTCGGAATCAACTAGTGGAAGGAGAAAAAGGAGTTGGAAAAGACTCCGGCTAGAGTGACCTTTGTGGTACCCTCTAGGGCTGACCTTCGCTGGGTCGCCCGCAGCCCCCTCAACGGAGAGTAGGACTCTAACGATTCCGAATTTCGGTAAAACAAATATCATGTCTCAATTCGTATTTCATTTGATATTTATGTTGCTCCAGCTCTTGTGCAGGTTCTCTGTGTATCTTATCATCTCTAGTAGGTACCTGCAGTTTGGTTTGAAGATAGAAATCGAAAGGAGCAAGTTTGGGGCTGTTCTGCAGAAACCGTGTATACCGGACACGTCCGGTATTTCCTACCTGTGCTGAAAATATTTATTCTCTATTTAACTTTGTGATGCAGGGCTGTAGCTTCTAGATATATTTTTATACCTTGTATTCTCTGTTGGCTAACTCGTGAGGGTTTTATTTCTCTGATTAGGAGTTTCCAAGTGTTTGGAAACTCGAACACTAATCGTTTCCGCATTTGAAAGGGTTAAATTTTCAGAAACGCCTATTCACCCTCTCTAGACAGCATCCTAGGTCCTTTCAGGTGGCTCGCCGGAAGCCGCGGTCGTCGTCCTCCTCTCCGGTGGCATGGAGGTCACAGAGGGAGGGAGGGAGGGGCAGCTCACCGGAAGCCGCGGTCGTCGCCCTCCTCTCCGGTTCGGAGGGAGGGAGGGGCGGCGGCACGCGAGCACTGCGGGCCGCAGAAATGGCGTGCGACGTAGCAACAAGAGAGTGGGTGCGAAGGAGACGGGAGGAGGAGCGGGCGAGCAAAGCGAGAGACTGAGTGCGGCAGGTCACGGGACAGGATGGGAAGGAGTCGAGCAGATAAGGGGCGCCACGCGGTGGAGTCGTTCCTGTGCGGTCCGTCCGGACGTGACGGACGCCCGCATAGTAGCGTTATCGCGCGCGTGTGTGTATATATATATATATATATATATATATATATATATATATATATATATATATATATATATATATATATATATATATATATATATACACACACACACTCTGTTGTATGGAATATAGAACGTGTTTACTTGCCGCCCTAGCCTGAGAGCCGTGGCAAGGCCGCTCGATTCAGGCCTAGGCGTCTGAAATTGTTAGAGGCAAACAGTTGTAACGAATGGCTTTATTAATAGATGGAATCTCAAAAGCCAAATGGCTTATGGGATGGGCTTTATTATTAGATGGAATCTCAAAATCCAAATGGCTTATGGGATGATATTTAAAATTTCCCAGAGGTGAGTTAATTCGCGTATTTTATACTAACATAATAAAAATTAGTTATTCCCTGCCTCAAAATAAGTGCACTTCTAAAGTTTAGGTAAAGAGATCAAGGTTAGTGAGAAATTACATATATGTCTATATAAAAGTGTAATCATTGCACCTCGAGAAAAAAAAAATAGAAAAAGACAAGTGAAGTTAGTTTGCCTTATAATAATCATTGCACCTTGGAAAAAGAGAAAATAGAAAAAGACAAGTGCAGTTAGTTTGTCTCGTAATTTTGAACTCTAGAAGTGCACTTATTATGGGATGGAGAGAGTAACTATTTTAAGAATTACACAGTACAACATAGACGTCCATAACATGCACGTAAACCCTACATCTATGAGCACCAAAGCGCTGCTAAATCTTATAATAAATAAATCTAAGAAAATACGAGCATCCGTGATGAGTCTAGGACTTAAATCTGGGTGGGCAGGTTCCACCACAAAGAACTCAACCAGCTGATCTATGATCAGTTCACAAATGCATGTGAACTATTAACACCTATTAGCAACTTCAAACCCGCTAATGAAACTAATAATTAGTAGCTCTTGAACTAATAATTAGCATGTCAATTTAGATCTACTAGTACTAATTTTAGCAACTAAATTTTAGTGCTAATGGATCCTTGGGGCTTGTTTGGCTGGTATTAAAACTGACTGAAACTATTTTGTTGTGAGAAAAAAATACTATAGATTCTAGCTGATAAGTTCAAGCGAACGTGCCCCCTATTGTTAGAATAGTACTTGCGGATGCGACTCGGCCTAGGCGTTCGGTTAATCGAAACCGATCGGTTCGGTTCTTCGGTTTACGACACAAATTCGGTTATCTACAAATAGGAACCGATCGGTTCTTCGCAAATCTTGAAACCGAGCAAAATCGGTTTCGGTTAGTTCGGTTCAGTTCTTGTTCCAACCGAACTAACCGAGGATTTACACAAGCAGCAAAAAAAAGAATAGAAAAAATAGGAAAAAATATTTTTAAAAAAGCACAATGTCGAGATTTTTAAAAATGTGAGGGTGTGAGGCTGTGAGGGGGTGTCATCCACCTTTTATATCTATGGTTAAGATGGTATTAGGCCTAGGTTGTAAGGTTTATTGGACTTGTTTGTGAATTTCGATTTCTTCGGTTATTTCGGTTAACCGAGTCCAGGAACCGAAATTTAATCAGTTAATTCGGTTCCTAAGAACTGAGAACCGAACAGCTAACCGAAATTTTCGGTTCTGGTTCTTTTGGTTTCGGTTTCAGTTTTTTCGGTTCGGTTCTCGGTTATTTTTGCCGAGCCTTAGATGCGACGCTTCTATCCCTCTTTCTGGCACGTGGGCCAGGACCTCGGACCCGGACAGCCGCGTCGTGTGCTGGGCGCCTCGGCCGACGGCAGGTCGCTACGAGACAAGGGCCTTCTTGTTCGCTTTCACGCCCGCCCATGGACCATGGTCCATCTCCATCCCTTCGGTTCGGAAAGCGGCTCGTGCTGACTTGCGTGCCGCCTTTTGTAAAGAGCTGCGCTTGATCTGATGCCTACCTATTACTATTATCTCAGTGATAATAGTGAGCACAGGAGCTCTCGTCCCTGGAGGCCTGGAGTACGCTGTCCAGTGTCCAGTGAAATTGGATCCTGGAACTTGCATAGGAATGTTCAAGTAATTCAACTATGAGGTCGTACGCCAAAGGCCAGACACTCAAAAACTATTCGGAAATTTTCGGTATATTTTCCTCCATAATCCAAACAACCCAATTCAACAAATTTTTATACCATCACTAGGTAATTTCAAGGCACGTTTACAAAAGCCGCCAGCAAACTCACTAGAATCAGTGCTGAATAAGAAGCAGAGATGGTGTGGACCTTGGTAGAGGTAGGAGTAACCTCAACATCAAGGTACACATGTGACATGCCAACTTCTAAAAAGACACACCAAATAAGCATATCCCGCCATCAGGAGATTCAAGACAACAAATGAAGAACTGATAATACACTACCATTGCCAATCATCAGTAACCTTTACTGTCGCAGTAACAACAGCCGGCTATATATACAATACAATTGCACGGCAACTCAGACCAGCAGCAAAGCTGTCAGCAGCCAAAAGTGCAGGATACTGCTGCAATATGCTGTAGGCGGAGACTACAGCGTGCTTGGTTTGCCGGTTTAGTTCATGCAGCATCAGCTCAAGGAGAATGGGTCGGTCCATCATATTCTGCGGAATGAACTGACTCCGCAGAATCTACATGCAGGAGCACTACATGGTAACGGACGAAGCGAACTGCTGATGCAAACCAAACAGATTAATGAGGTTCGGTTTCTGGAGCAGACAATTCCGGATGGACTCATTCCGGGAACCAAACAGGCTGATGTGTAGATGACCCCAAGCTCAGCTGCACACAACATCGGAATAAAAGGCTATCGTCCTCCGCTGGCAGTCCTGCACCGCCAGTAGCTCCACATCGAACACTTCGAACTGCTTCGCACTGAAGAACGTCGAAGGCCCAACCTTGAGTAGATGCAATGGAGATGTCAGAAACAGTGTGCCATGATGATTGATGATAGGCTGATAGTTAATAATGGCTAAGCTTGCACTATTTGTACTTCTGGAGATAATATTTACCACGCAGTAGGTCTCAAAAACATATAATCTCAGAGAAACTTTTATTAAAAAAAATCTGAGAGAAACTTTAATAGGAGGTACACCCGCACATTTTCAAATAGTTTTAGGTGGGGACAATATTCTTGTTTTAATGTCTACAATCTCCTCTTGTTTGTTGAGGTTCACATGCCACACTGGTCTGGGTAATTTTTACATTATTTGATGTTTCTACTTTTCCTTTTTCTTTTGCGGTAGAAACCTTTTAACAAGTGTCATTTTTCTTACCATTTCAGTAAGGTTCTTTCCATAATGTTTCCAAATGAAAAAAAACAGTAAGACTACAAAATGCCAAAACGATCCATACATGCAGGAAACTCATGTATTTATTGATGAACAAAATCCCTTTTGTTTCTGGTCTCTACACAAGAAGTTAAGGCCTCAGATCTTATCACACATGATTTTTTATGTGATATATTGTTAAATGGATATTTATGTCAGGAAAAGGATAGAGACTATTATTGCAAGAGCAAAATACACAAACACTTCATTAATTTGTTCTGTGGTGTCATCTAGGTCCCCCAACTTGTTAAGTGTGCCACTTGAGATCCAAATCAGTCTAATCAGCAAAAGCTTAGTCGCACACAAACACAACACTTAGTATGCACTATACATGATAGCAGTAATGGTCATGAGCATGTAGTAGAGCACGGGACATCTTGTACTCCATGCAATAGTGCCACATACATAGTTAATTGTTAATTAGGGTGATATGGACCTCATGTGATATACTTAGTTTATGGACCTAGATGTGCATTTTAATAGTTCAGAGACCTAGATGACACCACTTGACAAGTTTAAGGACTGCTGGTGCATCTTACTTTTATCGCAATATAAAGTACATGGAGAAACGGAAAAAGTAACTATACTTGTACAAAGGAAGTACTACCTCTGATCCCATAAATATAAGTCAATTTAGCTTTGTCCTAAGTCAAACCTACTTAGCCTTGACCATCAATTACTAAAACAACAACAACAACACAACAATAACATAGCCTTTCAGTCCCAAGCAAGTTGGGGTAGGCTAGAGTTGAAACCCACCAAGAGCCCCAAGTCACGGTTCTTGGTGGGTTTCAACTCATCAATTACTAAAAGATCATATAAATTGACAACATGGTGTCGAAGTAACTAGATGCATCATGAAGCACGCTTTCATGATACGTACCTCTTTTTATTTGAAACAATATATTTTTGGAGATATTGTTAGTCAAAGTGTGATATTGGAGACCACGTTGATGTCTTAACGAACTTATATTTGGGATCGGAAGGAGTACATAAGTTCAAGCCTACTACGCAAAAGAAGACAGTAACTTACAGGAGGACCAAGCTCTGGAGGTATTATAATTCTTCTCTTACCACCTGGTTTCATGTCCCGTATGCCTTCTTCAAAACCTGAAGTATCAATGTCTAAAATGAGATGTGATCTATTACAACTTCACAACCCACGAAATTCATCAGAGGAACATTTCAATTTTCAAGTTGGATTTACAAAACAGCTCCAGCAAGCACTAAGAATACTGGTAGTTGCATCAGGGGCCCAGGTAAAAAAAACTATTGAGACAGTGGATACTTTCCTGGAACTAGAGTTCCATTCCCTAACCGAATTTTTGCAGGGGAACCCTGAATATAAGTGCTATCTATTCTTCGTCCTGCTTCATTGTAGCCCACATAATGGAATATAATCTGTAGATGAATTGAAGAAAGTCAGTATCATGCAAAAAGTAAGCATGCTACAAACAAACGGAAAGAACTAAAACATATCAGAAACATATTTTGCAGCAATGTAGACTGATTTCTTAGTTCTAAATTTCTAATAGTTATAGCAAACACCAAACAGGAAACTTAGACCATCCTTAAGCAACACACTAGATAAATAACCAATTAGGCCAAACATAACAATTAGTAACCAATGAAAGTGAAAGTGGACCAAATCGATCTTTTTGACAGACATTTTCAAACAAACCATATCAGATAATAGACAAATAAATGATTTTATTCATATCCATGACCACCAAGATTGTACTGATCAGGCACACATGAATAAATAGTAAATGAGCAGAAGAAAATAAAACCGTTGCTTTGGAGGAAGAACCTGCTGACCATCCTTTGGAGAATCACCTGTACCAACTTTAATGTCCTCATACATTAGCCCAGAGTCCCGTGTAATGTAGTTGTCTGTTGTCACTATTTTGACCTGGAAACCTGAAATGCATTAAATGTCGTATGGTTACAGTTCTATTCAGTTTGAAGGTAGAAGGAAATGTTCTCAGGAGAGTTCGTTGATGAAGGTTATTCTCACACAAATAAATGTATCAACGAAGGTCACTGAAGGCATTGTATTGCACTACCATTCCTACAAGCAAACATTATGTGGTACTTAAGAGAGAAAATAATACACTCATAAAGTTTTCCAGAATCAAATGTCCTGTGCTGCAGAAAATTTGATCTGTACTTACAATTCTTTAATTTTTTTCAAAGAACGATGAACTTGCTAACAAAAACTATGTTGCAGTGTTGCCCTCGACAAAAATAGTTGTATTTGTATTTTTTTTCTTTGAATATTCAGACAGCAAGATAGCACTCTTGTCAATTTACAGTGGTACAGACACTATATCTGTGTCATTTTTCACATTGTTCATAAACTGAAAGATAAAACTAGGGAATATCAAAGGTGACACCGTAAATTACAAAACCATATAATCTTGGGCAATGTGGTATTCCCAAATTCTCTTGTGACTCATAAATTCATATAAGCAACATCCAAGATGTCACATGTTTGAGAAATAACTTCTACACTACATGATTGCAAACTTTGTTTTGGTGATGCTTATTTGCTTGCATACTTTTAGTTTCCCCTAGAATTACACCCAGTCTATCTAGAAACTATATAATCACATTCAATCAAGAAAAGTGAGTTGTAAATGGCATCTGATAGAAACTGCGATAGTAACAACAGATTATGAAGAATATGACATATTCTATGGCCCATAACTTGTAAGACAAGATCAGTAATACGATAATTCACCTTCTCTGATGAAGTTTGGGAAATCGTCAGGGGCACGGTTGGCTTCCTGAATCTTCTTATTCTGCTGAAGCAGCCGCCTTTCATCGTAAGGGTTCATGGTTTTACTCTTTCCATAGGCCGAGAACGCCACTGACAGCGCCGGTGAAGCCAGCAGCAAAGAAAAGGCAGCTCGCCTCCGGATCCTCCTCTGTACCACGTCTTTCTCCCCGCTGCCGCTCAAGATACTGGAGTTTTTGCACAGCAGGACTCTCTATTAAGGATACCATTGTACGCACTAATAGCACTGTAATTATTGATATATAAAAAAAAAAGACGGAGTGTGCAGTGCAAGTATCTGAAAATGTCAAAAATGAACACTCTGCCCGTTTCAAAAAAAAAAAAATGAACACTCTACGATGGCGTGTGCCAAGAACAACACTTCACTTCACCAAACAAGAAGGCTATCAAGTATCAACGAAATAACTGCGCAACAGCGACACAAATGGCGTCAGCAATCATTTCCAATGGCTGAACAAGGGCTTACCATACTACTCCCTTCTCCTTCCTCCTTGCACCAGCGGATGCCGTCATGCACGGAGCTCGAGCGGCCAGCCCTGCAATAGTCGCAAGGCACAGGCAGGACTCCACAATCAAAATTGGGGCGGTGCGACAAAACTGAGGAACAAACACGACCGTGCGCGTCTAGGCAAGCAATCTCGCCAGCAAGGAGGAGGAGGAGGCCTCACAGTTGCAGGAGGAGAGCACGGAGCGGGAGGAGGGCGTCAGCTCCATTTCCTCTCCTCCCCCAAATGGCGCGCCTCGCCTCTGTGTCTCCTCTCTCCTGTGCTCGCAGCTCCTGCGAAGGGGATAAGCTGATCGGCGGGTTTGGATTTTGGGTTTTGGGTTTTGGCCTTTTGGGTCCGCTCCCAGCGAACTGGACGGCATCCAGTCCGTTCCGGCTGCGGGCGCTCGGCGCACGGGCCGAGGTGGACCGCGCGCAGCCGCAGGCGGACGAGATGCCGGGAGGGCCTACGCGTCAGTGAGCCAAGCGCGCCGCGTCGCATCTGCTGGTGGACCCCGCGCCTCGTGATCACGCTCTCCAGGTCCAGGGCGGGGAGCCATAGCCATCTCCTCCGTTCCTCCCGCAGCCGCCGAGACGCGAAGCGCGAGCGGGAGGAGACCATGTCACGGTGGCGCGCCGCCGCGTCCAGCATCTCCGCCGCCGCCGCCGTTGCCTCCCGCAACTCTGCGGCGGAAGCCCGCGTCCTCTCCAGGGCTTTGGCGAAGGCTCCCTCGCCGCTTCCGCTTCCTCTCCAAACCCTCTCGAGAACCTTCGCCAAGTCCGCTGCCGCCGCCGCCACGGCCACGTCTCCCGGCACTGGCGCCTCCTCCCCGCCCGCCGGGCCGAGGCCCGAGGTACCGCCGCTCTCCCATCTCGCGCACGCCACTGGGGTTGTCTATTTGCATGATCTCGATGGTTATTTAGGGCGAGCTGGTTGAGTGGTTGTTCTGAGTAGCTACTGGGATTTGGGGATGGAAGTCATTTGAGATCGCGCATTTTAGGCCGCAGTTGTTGCGTATCCACGTTAGTAGCAACACCTGTGTCTGTAGGGCTACTCATGTGGGAAAAAGGTTGGGTTTTGCATGCATGTACGAGTAGTCTGCTCTTTGTCAGATTGTGCAAATTCCTCCAGTGGTGATATTCGACTTGTGTTTTGTTACTGTGGAACTTGGTTAGTAGCACAAATGAGTGGTTATCTGTTTATCCAGAGGACTGTGTACCATTCAAATTTTACATCCTTCAGACCTCCTTGTTGGTGCTTGTGATCTGTTTACCGAATCTAATTAGTATAATTACACAAAATGGTTAATACTGTGGTTCTGCATTGTCGTGGCTCTGGTTGTTTATATGTTTTTGCGACTGTAACATTTGCATCTTGTCACCATTAGATTATTGTATGACATAATGAAATAGGTGTAGACAATTTTTTAAGCTTATGGCCTACAAGATGTGTATTTGCTGGGAGATGCAATAAGAGGATATGGAGTCAAACAAGTTATTGCTCCTTTGTACATCATTGCATTTGTCATTTGTCAATGCTGCTCAATGCTCCACTTTCTGTGGATCTGAGTATCTCACATTTTCACAAGGATCTGATGCTTTGATTACGATTTAGCCGTGATTTATTTTAACTCCTATACTTGCAGCTTAACGGTTGCTTTTCTATTTCACAGATCAGACTGAATTCTATGTTCTTATCCAAGCCCTGTTCATTAGCGTTGCCACCTGACTCCCCTCATAGAGCAGTGGATCCACAATATGAAGGCATCAAGCGATTCCTGCTCACACTGTTGTTGTTCTACAGTAAGCAAAGCAAGTCCATCAGAGGGGCAAATGTTGTTTATGATCGAATCACTTCTCAAGTTGATGCACCTGCTATTTATGATGGTAAACTTCCTGGTTATTACAGGATCTGCTTGATTTTTTTTCATTTGATGTTTGTTTCTCAGTCTTCCATTTTGCTCTGTTCTAATGCTAAAATATGCAGTCATTTTTTTTAAGTTGCATAGTTGATTAACAGTTTGTTAAGAAGAATATGTTGGTGGTGACCATCAATATCTAAATAATTGATATACATTAGTTTTAGCAACAAGAGTTTGGTGATAAATTCTGATATGCTGATGCATATTGATCATTCTGGGCTGGTACGGCATAAATTTACTGGCTGTTCCCCTGAAAACTAGTAGCTTCAGTGGAGGGCACCTGCCAAAGATATGCAGTTGCTACTGGTACACGTTTTATTTTCTCATATGGAATGTTTATCCCTACTGCGCTGTATGTGCTACAAGTTGCTGTTAGGTGTAGTGAATAATTAACTCGTAGCTTGTTGTGCAAAACCAAAGGATTGAGTTTGATTTTTTTTCAGGCAGAAATCAGTATCATGGTAGGATGATTGAGTTTTTGTTAACTGATTTATTTGAACTTTTATCTTTTTATGATCATGATATATTGAGACAGAAATATCGTACATGTACCTTTGCAGTTTTTCAGTTGGAGAAAACATTTAAGACAACATTTTCATTGCTTGTTCTCCATATGTGGCTTGTTCTGCGCCGCTTGAAGGAAGAAGGGAAGGATGGTGTTAAGTTCGGACAGTACATCTATGAAATGTACAACCACGATGTAGAGCTCAGAGTTTCAAAAGCTGGGGTAAGCTGTTTGGCTGTTTTATATAAATTTGTATATGGTTACTATATGCATTGCTATCATCTTGATTCGTGATCTGATGGATGTAATCCTCATTATTTGCCTTTAAGAACTATCTGTTGATTGGTAATATGCTTTACCATCCTACACCTCTGACATAACTTGTTATTACAATTTAGAAGCTTCCTGTTAGGTGTTTGATACTTTCTTGAATATCGGTTTGTGTCAGAGGGGGGAGTATCAATAGTGTTCATACAGTTGAACACCAAATTTTGAATGTTGTACTGTGGAAGTAGTCCTTCAGTTCTTTTTTGTTTCTGATTTCAATGTATGCTGCCCTCGATTTTGCCTTGGGATACTATCACATTGGGAGACCGGGACAGTAATCACCTACAGGTTACGCTCATTCCTCAAATGAGCAACTTGTTAACATTAGTCCTGCATCATGTAAATGATTTTCATGTACAAAACCAAGAGCAGAAGTGCAGAACTTCTCATATATTTTAGCGCTGCCTGCTCCCTTCTGATCAAGGGTGATATGACATTTAGAACGAGCAAATTAGTTCAAAAATTAATAATCCTAAACATCGTATATTTAAAAATGGAGGGAGTGGTATTCAATCATATCTTCAGTTCCTCTTGAATGATCAGAGGATTCTTGCTTTTTATGCATTCTACCTCTAGCGAAAACTGATTTATATAACATGCTAATGCATTCTAGGTTAACTTGCTCTTGATAAAATGGATGAAGGAGCTAGAGAAAATATTCTATGGAAACATTGTGAAGTATGATGCTGCGATAAGCCCAGAGGCTCGTCAAGATGATCTCGTAAATGTCATCTGGAGGTAACTATGCCAAGCTTCTACCTAACAACCCAAGTAAAAATTTACTTCAAGGGCTAGGTTCAATACAGAAGGAATGTTTTGCCTGGACATACCTTACAATTTGAGCTGATTTCCTTCAGTTTTGTTCCGCACATGCATATATCATTGACTCTGTTGGTGACACTGATGCTGTAAGTATCAGGCTGTGTGGACAAGTACTTCCAAACTTCCCTGCTTCATGGAGTTCACCATATATTGTCCCTAAGTGAATGAAATAGCAAACTGTTTTGGTGCTTCTGTCGATCATTCCAGCAGTTTTACAGATTCTATGCTTAGCAACTTATACAAGGAGACTAGTCAAATGTTAAATTTCTTTGCTTTGCATTCTTAAGGAATTTGATTGAATTTGTGAATGTAGTAACTTTCTTTTAAAAGTAGAAAATCAATTTCTTTGCTGTAATGCTGTTAGACCCACCATGGTAGTTATCACTCCTTCCAAATTATAGTTCATTTAGCATTGTCCTATGTGTCAAACTTCTCTAACTTTGACCAAGTTTTGAGAACAATATATTAACATCTACAAGTTCAAATCAATGCACTATCATGACAAATTTTACGGAGAATTTAATGAAACTTATCTGAATGTACACTATAATTTGACTTGGGACAAAGCTACAGTGCACTATAATTTGAAACGGATGGAGAATGTGATAGATGTGTTGCTGTCTTTCTTTCACAATAGAAGTCTTCTGGCATTATGTGTGATGGGTACATGTATTGAATGCTAGAAATATTTACGCTGAGGAAGGTTCAGAGGCTATGGATGCGGCTGCTGCCCCTGCTGTCCAGGTAAACTCCTTTTCATGATGGAGACAACTACCCTATCAAAACATGGAGTCATCTTTCAGCTTTCACAACCTAAAAGCTACTTGTTCTGTTAATTTTCAGGCATTGGCAAGATACACACGAAGGGAGGCAACTTGTCTATCATTGACTGGTTAGATTTCTGCAACTCTTAAAACATTTACCATTTTCTTCTTGAATAAGTTGAACTCACTAGATACTTCTTGTCTGGTATATATTCTAACTACAGACAAAGATTCTATGTTCTCTGGAAACTTCAAATTCACAACCCTGCTGCCGGCAACTCCCAGTCCCAGCCCAAAGAAGCCTGCGCGATGAACTGCCGTGGTACATCCACATTTCATATGATGATTTGAAAACAGCAGGATCAGTGGATATCTGTCATTCTCTCAGCAATACAAATAACAGGCTTCTTCCAGCAGTTGTTTATTCTGGGGTCCTCACGATTCAAACCCTTTTGATGGATATACTTCGTTCTAGATAGGAAGTTTATTTTGTTAATCTTACGAGTATTTGCTCTAGTATGCCACCCTTTGCTCTAGGAGGCCACCCACTTGAATGGAGCCCTTTTTTTTCAGGAATGCTAAACACCACACGAGTGTTTTAGCACCTATAAACACATGATTTTTTCCGTGTGTTTGACACGAGGCTCCGACCGACTCCTCTCCGCGCTCCCGTCCTCCCCTCCGCGTGCTCTCTCTCTCTCACCGGCGACGGGACCGGCGAGCTCCTCCCGGTGCCCATGCCTCCTCGTGCCCAGGCTACGATGCCGCACGCAGCCTCTGGCCGGACCGGACCTCCGTCGCTGCCACCAGGCCGGACCTCCGCCGCTGCCCTCAGGCTGGACCTGGACCTCCGCTGCCGCCTCCACCGCCCCCAAGCCGGACCTCCGCCGCCACCCCCGCGGCACGGCCGTGCCCGCTCCGCCGCGATTTGTTGCTTGTGATCTGTGCCGACACAGCAGTAATTTGTCTTTGTCCTTTCATAGAAAAAATTGTTTCCTGTGATCTGTGCCAATGAAGAAGATAAACAGTGCCACAGGCGGCGCGACGGTCGGCTAAAGGTAAAAGATGAACAGTGCGCAGCGCCCGGCTGAAGGTAGAAGATGAACAGTGTACGCGGGGCTGCTGGAGGTAGAAGATGAATAATGCCAGAAAAATTCAGGTGTGGAGTTAGGGTAAAACACCCAAGTGTCAAACAGAGACACTCTTTTTTCTCTCTCTTTTTTTATGGTAATCTTTTTCCTTTGGCTGATTTGGACTCTGGTCATCGTGCCAATTGGAGGTGATAGAGAAGTAACCATACAAATGCATTGTTTAACTATGTACTATTGCTTGGAAGTCATAGCTGGATGGTTTGGGGAAGAATGCAGATGCAGTCACCTTTATTTGAAAGTGGCACCTGATTTTTTCCCGGAGTACCTTCTATTACGAGTCATATACTATACCTATATAAAAGGTTCTAGTACTTACGATGCTGGCATGAATGGCGACAACCGCATGATGTGAACCGTATGCAAGATCGTTGTCATCTGCCTCCTCGGTCCTAAAATAAGTGTTGTTCAAATACTTTTAACTTTGCCTAAATATATACAAGAAAATATTAATATTTGTAGTATATAATTATTATCATTAGATAGATCGTTAAAAATATTTTTATAATAAAACTTATTTGAAGATACAAATGTTGCAAATATTTTTTAAAAACCTCATGAATACCATAGCAACACTTATTTTGTGGCGAAGGGAGTACCGCCTGTCCAAGAAAGAATATAATTCTAGATGTATTTTTTGGTTAACATGTCTAAATTTGACTAAATATAAAATAAAATAAATAATACAATTCTAAATTTATTCTTGGTTGACTAGTAATCAAATATGTAAATAAAAGAGTAATGTTTATAGCACCAAATATATATTATGAAAACATATGTCATTACAAATCTAATAATATACTTATTTAATATTATAAATATTGATATTTTCATTTATAATTAGTTAAACTTAAGACACCTTAATATGGTACTAAAATTGTATTTTTTTCTTTTTGGATGGAGGGAGTACGTCAAAACGTGAGATGTTCTTTTTTTTAAAATGTAGGTGTAGCAAAGTCGAATGTGTTGTGTGTCTTTTAGGATTGGTCTCACGCTCATTAGCTGCTTGATGTTCGAAGAAAAAGAACCACAATGACGAGGTGATGCAATGTATCTATCTGGGGGTTAGAAGAAAATCGACCGCTTTAACAGGCTTATGTAGACGTGGTCCCGTTCCTTGTTTCGCTACAGTTGGTACCGTGTTCTTGCCTCCATTTGTCGAAGAAAAGCTTGGCTTGAGCATTGCCTGGGGCATATGAGATGCTACTCGAGTGTGAGTACTTAATACTTATGAAAATAAATTCACAGGGTGAAGCTAATGATAATATGAATAGTTATATTATGAAAATAAATTCAATTATGAATCTAACAATATTTATTTAGTTATTTATAAATTTAGTTAAATCTAAAACAATTTGACTTAGTATTATTCTAGAGTTGTATCCTTTTCTGGACATTGGTAGTAGATTATTGGAGAGCTCATCTTATATGTCGTCCTTTAAATAATGTAGTAACATGGCACTCTCTTCGTTCCAAATCATAAGACACTTTGATTTTTCTAGATACATAGATTCAACTATGTATTTAGACATACGGCGTGTTCGTTGGATGGTTTCTGGGCTAGTTTGGGCTGGCTGGTGCTGGTTTGTTGTGAGAGAAAAACATTGTTGGCTGGTTGAATAAGTCTGGCTGAAACCAATAAGCGAACAGGGTGATAGTGTTTTCTAAGTGCATAGCAAAAATTATGTATCTAGAAAAACGAAAACGTCTTATAATTTAGAGTGGAGTGAGTATGAGCTAACTTGTTTGGAGTGGAGGGAGTATGAGCTAACTTGCTAGTTTAGAGCAACTCTAGCGATAATCTACCCTCTAACATGTAGGCTTGGGGTAGCCTAATATTATTTTTGTGAATATTAGAGATGAATTGTTCTGATATATCTCCAATATCTGTATAGAAAGATAGCAAGTAGGGGCCTCCCGTGCAGACCCTTTCAAAAAATATCTATATAAAAAATAGGGTCTATCGCCATACGATGAAAAGAGAGTTGAAAAGTGATAGTTAGGGTGGACTCCATGCTATTGGAGCATATGCTTTAGTGAAAGAAGTTGAGAAAAATATTGATTAAAAATTAGAGTTGTTGGAAAATTTACAGCAAGAAAAAAAGCATCATTGCTCTCTTAATAGGGGGACTATTGAAGGTGACGTGGGCATATAATAAGATCCGTCAACCGTAAATAAACTGGACCTCGCTGAGCCACTCAGCTACTGTTCATTTACTGTTTAGTACTATTTTTACACTGTTAAACACAATTCAGTACTACTGTTTGTTCACTATTTAATAATGTTTTGACACTGCTAAACACTATTCTTTTTTTTTTTGCGATTCACTGCTAAACACTATTCGCTACTACTATTTATCACTTTTAAAACTGTGTAACGTACTGTTTACATCTTCGATTTCTAATCATCGTCTCTTCACCGTGTCCAAGAACCGGCGCAGCGGTAGTGTTTGTTACCAGCGAAGACCCCCTGAGCCGGCTGATGCTACTGTGTTGTGAGAGAAAAATACTATATTATAATTGATAAGTATAGCTGATACGATCAAACAAATAGGGTGGATCATCAATTAGTAGCATGTGCTGATTTATCATAAAGTGCATCACTGGTGTCGGGTACAAATGGTACCCAGATGTTCACTTACTAAAAGATTGCGTGTCTAAGAAGCGCAGCAAAAAAACAATCTGAACAACCACCAATTATATTTTATATTAAGGGTTTGTTTGGATTTACTAGTATTAATAGTTAACAGCTAAAATTAATAGTATTGTACTATTGAATCCAATCAGGACCATACATAGACCAAACAACTATTAGCTAAATGGCTGGTAGTGTTAGTTTCACTAGCAAGTTTGAGGTTGCTAATAGGTTTGAGTCTTTCCAATCACCTACACTAGTAGAAATCTGCACATCTATAACGAACAGCTTTCGTCATCGAAGAAGTGAAAATCGTCATAATTTTAGTTTTATAATGAATTTATGACGAAAATTCATTCATCAGAACATATGCGTCATATTGGTACATGCATGACGAATCCGAGTAGCCCTTACTAATAATTAGCTAGCTAATAGTTAATAACTTTTTAGCTATCAATACTAGTGGATCCAAATATGCTCTAAGCCTTCTTATTGTCACTACCTACCTTCTCCTGATATGAAGTTTTATTTTCATTAACTTGAGAGATCATTTCTTAGTTACAGCTCCCTGCCATCATATATCACGTTTTCCACTTCTTAGAATCATTGGCTCATTTTTAACTTATTGCTTAAGTGAGTGATTATTTGCAGTTAGTTAGACAAAGATAAACAAGTCCTTGCCCTATGCATCATATGTTTGATTGTTAGTCAACTGATGGAGACAAATGTGACATATTATATATTACATACTGTATAATGCAAAATCTGGTAATGAACAGACGGAGACAATGTGACAAGATTATATATTACATAATACTGTACATACCAGCTAATAATCAACTGACCGAGACAATGGAGGTGCGAACTGCGAGCTCGGGTCGGGGGAGTAGGATGTGTGCACCAGGTTATTAGGAGTACTTACCTTAGCAGCCCACAGGAAGCATCATTTATCAGTCACTAGCTTGCGCAAATGATATATCACTAAGTGCATCATGAATGTTGGGTGCATTGGTACGCAGATGTTTACTTACAGATGTTTCGTCGGAAAAAATATATTTATATCTCCTATCTCCTATAACTAAAAAGAACAAAGTGTAGATATTTTTTGATGCGACATTTGTTTTGGTTCGTCCGTCTGCCCACGCCTGCGATCCCACGACATCTTAATTACTGATTGATCGTGTCATTCTCCTTGATTGAATATTGCCTATCATGTGATAGAGGAATCACGACAGAATAGAAAGTAAAAAATTATTGTGCTATCCATATACACATTGCATGTTTGCATGCACTAGCATACATGACAACGAGCAAAAGGAAAGAGAACTAACACAAAAGAAAAGAG